GCCAGAGAGAAATTAGACAAGGAGATCCTTTGTCCCCTATCATCTTTGCGTTGGATATGAACATCCTTTCTAAAACTCTTAATCTTGCTGCCACCAAAGGGATCTTCGGGTACCATCCTAAATGCAAAAAGTTAGGCCTTACCTCTCTTTTGCAGATGATCTTTTATTTTTTTGTAAAGGAAACCCTGATTCAATAGTTGGGATTATCTCTGTATTAAATCACTTCTACCACATGTCTGGTCTTAAGCTCAATATAAGCAAGACTGAACTCTTTGCTGCTAGAATTTCTTCTCGGAATCTTCAAATTATCAAATGCATTTCTGGTTTCAAACAAGGTATTCTTCCTGTCAGATATTTGGGGGTTCCATTAGTCACTAAAAAGCTAATTGAACAAGACTGCCAGCCTCTTATTGACAGAATCAAGCTTAGACTCCACCATTGGTCAAGCAGACTCCTAAGCTATGCTGGAAGACTTGAATTAGTTAAAACGGTCCTGTATAGTATGGCCAATTACTGGTGCAGGCAATTCAACCTCCCTCAGTCTATTATTAATCGTATTAACCAACTCTGTTCCAGGTTCCTTTGAAAATGAACGGACCAGTCTGCTTCAGGAGCCATAGTCAGTTGGACCCGTATATGTTGCCCCAAATCTGAAGGTGGATTAGGATTGAAAAACATCAAAACCTGGAACACTGCCTGCATGGTCCAGCTTATTCGAAATGTTCTTACAGGGCAAGGGTCACTTTGGGTCACTTGGTTATACTGCTATGTTATAAAAACTGAGGACTTCAAAAACATGGTTGTTAAAGCTTCCTACAGCTGGAGCATTAAGAGATTAATGAATCTTCGATCCACTACTCTTCAAATTCTTAACGCGGGAACTACTATAACCATAGATGTTTGGGAAGTTGTTCGAGATAAAAAGAAGCAAGGTTCATTGGCATAAAATCTTATGGTTTCCTTCCCACATACCGAAATTCAGTATGATCACTTGGATGGCTATCTTGGACAGACTTCCAACTAGAGAAAGACTATCTCGGATGGGCATCGTCAATTACTGCAGTTGTGTGTTTTGCAATGATACTAATGAAGCAAGAGACCATTTATTTTCTGATTGCAGTTTTACAAAATCTCTATGGAGCTCCATACTTACCCTTACTCAACTGCGAGTTCCTCATATGACATGGGATGAAACTATTAGCTGGGCTTGTGAAGAATGGCAAGGTAAGTCCCTCATTACTACTATCTTGAAGCTTGCTTGGACTTCATTCATCTATATGATATGGGAGGAGAGAAATAGAAGAATTTTTCATCGAGGATCACGAGAAGTTGACCAACTCCTATCTTCCATTAAAGAGATAGTACAGACAAAAATATCAATAGATTATATAATGTTAATTGTAACCTTTGTAACTCTTGGGGTATAGATTAATCATTTTTGTTGTAAGTATTTGGTTATAATCCCTCTTTGGGACGTTCTTTATAGTTTCAATGCTCTTTTGGATAATAAAAGCTAACTTATCCAAAAAAAACTTTAACTTTAACTGAAGCATCATTGATTCTCCAATAACTGAGCAATCTCATCTTTTCATGCATTTTACTTGAGGCCTTCTATGCTAATATTCGAATCGAGTGTCGAACACTGAGACTAAAAATAAATAGTAACAACATAAGTCGAGTTGGCCTTGGTTGATTAATTCTGTTTATGTAAACAGAGATGATCTTCCAATGGAGATCACCTGGGAGAATCACATCGATGATTTGTCACTAAAATGTACAAAGAAATATGAAATTAATGCATGGATGAAAATGACCTTTTCTTGTGCGTTTGAGAAGCACACATCCTTTAGCAAGCAATTATCTACTGCAAATCCCCAGTAAATTCTCACCGGGAAGAAGCTCGCTGCTAAAGCTGCCATTAGAGCCACTGTTACTTCCATTGCCACCGCCTTTCTCCACCGGAATAACAACTTCTATGTTCCATGCTTCCTTCAACACCCTTGCTTTCAATATGGCCGCCCATCTTAAGGCTAAACATCGAAACCCAAAGATATATTCAACGATAAAACAACACTAAGTTTTTCATTGGATTAAGGTTTATTGTTTTTCATTGGATTAAGGTTTATCATTGTATACCTGTGGCGGCGCCAACGTTTAAGGTCGTTATATCTTTGGCGGTCCATACATTGACGGCGGAGCTGATTACTGAGGCCAAATGTTCACGTTCGGCTCCCATGGCTTCAGCAGCCTCCACGCATTATGCATCAACTAGAGTCGTGGCGGATGCCACATCCATATCCGTCTTTTTCATCGGCTCATCCATCCCTCTTGCATGTTGGGTCGATTTTGGAATCGGGTTTTGAAGCTGAAGATGTTTGCTTTGAAGAAGAAAAAGAAAAAAGGAAGAAAAGAAAAAGCACAAGAGGAGTAAAAAGAAGAAGTTGTCACGTTAGAAAAGTTAATTGGGTTAAGTGTCACATCAACAAAAACTAACAGGAGATCAAATGAAAACGAACTAAAAGTTTGATGATTATATTGTAAGTTTCAAAAGTTAGGTGACTAAAATACAACTGTCCTAAAAGTATAGGTACTATTTTTATAATTTACCCATAAATATATGATAAATTCACATGAATTTACTATTTCTAATTTTTGGTACATGTGAAAGTACATGCAACCTCTATTACATGCATAGATCCAAATTAGTCCCTCTATTATTACATAGATCAATTTAACCTCTCTACTAGTAAGAAAAATCAAATAAAACCATTTTTTTTATAGATTTGACTTCCGAAACAGATAATAATTGGAATAATCAGAAATGATTATGTGATTATGAAACATCCAAAATCTCATACACCAGAAAGATACCACCACGACTCCACTCACTTTCTGACAAAAATCTTCAAATCGTTGGCAAATGGCTTCCTAGTTTGTATTAGGGTTGCTGCTGTGAGCCAAATAAACTATTGCTATCATCGTCACAACAATCGATGTACCCAGAGACAATACCACCTACCATTTCGATAAAAATATCAGTAATAGTGACACTAATACATATGTACCATCACCTTTGACATTAGCAACAGTGCGAATGTGACCATCGTTATAATATTAAACTGTCGTTACAAGATATAAATAGTGACGTAAATGAAATTTTAGCGACATTATTTTAGGAATTATAATTAATGTTCATATGTTTGTTACATTATTTTAGTGACATTAAATAGTCGAGTCTCGGATTGAAGTCGAAAATGTCCATTACTTTCTTCAATCTGCTCTTTTTCTCTTTGCCATCGACTATCAATGGTGCTTTGCCCTTCGATTCATCGTTGCTCTCTATATCAATGCTTGCGTTGCTCTTCTGCATTTTCTTTTCTTTATTGTTTTTGTTTGTTTGGATGGAGAGAAAATCTTAGAGCCGAGGAAGAGGAAAAGGAGAGAAAATTGGAGCTTTTTGTTCTTGATGAACAATTGGCTTGATGGATGATCAAGTTTTTATAGGGGATTCAAAGCATGGATGAAGAATCAACTATATTATTGTTGACTATGAAGCAATTCAATTACCACTTTGTTATTAGTTTGATATCTTAATTATAAAATTTTATAAATTACTCCCTAGTTCATCTATTCACCCCTATTTGATCGATGTGATATATTAATTTACTTCAATAAGGAACGAAAACAAAATTTTATGTCAAAATACAAACTTTTTAAAAAATATATTAAAAATTTAATGAAAAACACATTAGGGAAATGGAATTCAACCATCAACTATACACATTAGGTATGATTTGTCATGATGGTAACATGATGACAACGGATCGGGATGGTCGAATTTTGTCCTTAATCCGATGTTTCGTGTCAAATTTGGAATCGAGTCGTAACACAAGAATCTAATACTTCAATCAAGAAATCTTTAACCCCAAATCATCTTGCCTTGAAACTTAAGCTTCACGTTCCAAAACCGAATTTCCATTTAAAAATTACAAGACTCAACTTTTTCAACAAGCAACTAACAATGCCACTATCAAAACCAGTAAAAAAATTGCAATGCTTAAGCAAAAACAATATCTGTCCTCATAATATGAAAGCCAGGGTCGAATTTCTACTGTCCCTAGAGTTGGGTACGCGAAAAATATGGAACATATTCAGGCATATATATTCGGTAGCCGATAGCATCATCTTTTCCCAATCTGCTATTCTTCTGAAACGAGCATGCTAAAAATCGATACTTCGCAGGCTTCCACAGGCAGTCTTTCTCCTGATAAAGTACAAACGCTATTGAAGGCAATACGGCGTTGCAAATCGCAATGAATTCGATTCTGAGTTCAACAAACCACCAAAAGTGCTACCGATGCATTGGAAATTTAGATGTCAGCTCAGCTTGCCTGGATTTGTAGTCTGGTGCGATGGGTTCCCGTTCTCTTCCAAAATAGAGAGATTCAAAGTAGGTACAGGGACCTGATTAAATCCGTTAGACTTGACCGCCATGGGGGAGGTGCAGTATGAGATTGTGACTTTTTTCGGTTCAAAGGTTTCGACAGTTAACTCGTCCGCTGAATCTTGTTTTTGCAACATTTCCATATACCGTAAAGATGGGACATCTATATTCGGTAGCTGATAGCATCCTAGTTCCCAAAATTAAAATTTCCATTCGTTATTTTGTCAACTGATCTAAACTTCACTTGCAGTTGATTTTCGAGGGTGGTACATGATAATGCTTTGCTTGTTCTCAAGATTTGTTCCGTCTCTAGTCGTTTCGGGACTTGATTTAGAAACCCTTTGTGCATTGTGAGGTGTTTTTATGGAGACTGATGCTTATATTAAGAGAATTTGAGTGAATGGTATAGCTCGAAGGGTCTAGTGGCAAGAATTACCGAACTGGTTGTACTGGTTGTACTGGTTGTTGTTTTGCTCTATTTTCTTAATATATAGCAAAACGAACCCGAACTAGAACACCAACCCCTAAATCTGATTTGACCAAAAGCCAAAATACTTAAACCCGAAATTCTAACTTGCACTGTGAGTCATTGAAATCGATGTATCGCATTTCTGTTTGCTAGGTGTTATGCTCGGCTGCATCCTAGAGCTGTGAACTGTCGCAAGAAGAAATGTGGTCATAGCAACCAGGTTTGTATGCGTGTGCTGCTGTGTCTGCGGTTCTACTTCGATGCAGTGTACTAAATATTAATCTCTCTTTTACAGTTGAGGCCAAAGAAGAAGATCAAGTAAACTACGAGTATGGTGGTTATTTCATCTGCTTCAAAGAACATGAACACAGAACTTGTCAAAAAAATTCCATTTGGTTCTTTGCTTTACCATTTTTCTTTGAAATTTAATATCTTGATATTGCAGTTGTTGAAAATTGAGGTTCATACATACACTTTTGACCATGTTGGCCAGTTTTACTTTATGGATTGCAATAATTTCAAAGTTCTTCATTGGAAAGTATTTAGTTGTAATCTCGGTTGAACAAATTTCCTCCAATAATCACTTTCTCCAACAATTACCTCACTTTATTCCCCCATATCATTAGTTATTGGGCATCGCTATTCGTTCAGGGCGTTACTAGATAATTTTTGTCCTGCTTTGTTTTTGGTTGTATATATATTTTTTGATTAAGAGTACAGGGTAGTATCTGTTCAACCATTTGACATTGAATGTCCACACACTTGATATTCTTGGTGTTAAAATCCGGGACTTCAAGAAATATCAACAATTTCTTAGAGACTGAGGTTGTATAATTTGATCGTGTCCTATGAGGTGTTTCGTTGATTTTTTGTAGCGGACTCTACTTCCTTTTGGGTAATGAAATTTTAACAATTATCCACAAAATAGACATCTTAATATAAGTAGTTGGCATAAACTAATGAATTTTCATTACATATTACAAATAGAAAGTAGACTTATAAAATTGGGGCTAAGAACATAAATTGCATTGGGACTGAATGATAAAACAGCTGTGTATAGGTTATTAATAATAAAAATAACCTATCTAGTGGTATGATTCTCGCTTCGGGTGCGAGAGGTCTCGAGTTTGATTCTCGGAGCACTCCACTTTTTCCTATGGGATAATAAGTTCTATGGACTTCTAATTTTCAAATTTATATTTAAATGCTCTTTACGAATTCCAAAAAAGTTCATTAACAATTGAAAATAAAAGTTGAGGGTCAAAGGAGAAATGATTTTTCAGAGAAGTTTGACAGCCAAAATGTCATTAGGTCAGTTATAAAAACACAAGGACTAAGTTGTTGAGATTGAAAGGGCAGGGATTAGATGTAATAGTTCGAAGTGTATAGGGACCGTGAACAGATTAAACCTATATGAAGCCTTTCATGTTGAATCAAAGCATAAATACCTATTTAAGTCCTTACCAAACGGCATACAGAAATTGTCGTTTTAAACAGAGCATTTTGCCGCCATCAAGACCTGACTCTTGCTTTTCAATTTATTATATAATCATTGAAATTTCTTATTTCTTTCAGATTTCTCATCAATTAACTGTCCACCGTCATCACCTCTCACTAAACCTCACGTCAAGTTTGATGCGGTACGTTCTATATCACATCCTTTTCTTTCTTTTTGTTTTCTTTTTCCTTGATAATTTTCACGATGAAAAGAAATGAGTAGATCCGACAGAGTTTTAAATCACTGGTGATTAGTATTTATTTAATTTCCATTTCCCGGAAATGACTTTGTGAAATGAGTAGATCCGACTGAATTAACGAACCGTTAATTAATTTGACCTTCGATAGACTTGTTGACTAGTCCTGAATGTTTCTCGTCTTAGATTTTCAAATGATTGTAATATGATTGGAGAATAGATTGTTGATTGTGCTTGGATTTTCCCTATTAGGTTTGAATTTTGATGTAATTAGTGATAACAATTTTGAATCTACGTGTTTAGCTTTTTGGATTTAGTGGAACAACTTTGTTGGAAATCGCTTTTGATATTGGTGAAATGAATTTATTTATTTTTTCCTATTTGTTATGCAAGATATGGATAGTTCAATCCCTGCAGCTTTTGTTAATGGAGGGTTGTTACGGATGCATGTTTGAAACAACCAAAACATTCAAGATAATCAAGGTCTCCATCTCGGGCTTCAGTAACTCTTCTCCCATCGGGAAGGGCTCCACTTACATATAACCAACAATTTTGAGCCCAAGTTCGAGATGATATATATGAAGTCAAATTCCTCCCCTCTGAATCCGCGACAAAACACACACACTGAGAGAGTTAAGAGATGGAGTGATACCTCAAACAAGGTTAAATCACTCCCACCAGTTATGATCCACACAATACCAGTAGCTCTTTCTATACCAAGATCTAACGAAGGTGATTGGATAGCATTTAGTGCAGCATCTCTAGCTCGTGTTTTCCCTGCATACCAGAAACAAACAATTAGAACAGAATAACCAGTTCGGAACCGAGTTGTCAACTTCCAAATTAGAATAGACAAACTACAGTCACTTCAATTACTGTCAGAGGGATGAAAAATAAAATAAAGACCGAGGTATGAACTTTATGCATTCAAATTCCAAGCCTCAAATATAATTGCTAACGATCTCTTTGATTACCAGTTGCAGTTCCGATCCCCATCAGTGAGGAACCCGCATTTGCCATTATAGTTCGCACATCTGCAAAATCTACATTGACTAGCCCAGGAATCTGCAATGAGGAAACACAACTAAATTAGAGTGCGGAAGTATGGTCTGAACCCTGAAACAAATCATAGATTTAGCAGCACCGAGGATTATGACCAAAGTTATTATTTATATAAAAAAAAGTTAGGGTTTTTTAAATAAATATAATAATATTTTAAATATTTTTTTAAAAATAAATTTAAAAATTACAAGGTTGTGACATGTGTTACTTAACGGAAAAAACTAACGCCGTTGACCTAAACTTTTAAGCATTTCAATTTCATCCTTAAACTATGACTATCATTCTAAATTAATTCTCAAACTTTTGAACATTCCATTTTCATCCCAAACTATGAATCTCATTCTAAATTGGTCCCTAAACTTTTAGATCTTACAATTTCATCCATAAATTCATCCAAACATGCAATCCATTTCAACCATAGTTTAACCTAATTTTTTTTCAAACATATAATTATATAACTTGGCCTAACGATTTTATTAACAAGATATGTATCAGTATATACGTATAATTTAGGATAAAATTGAAATATTCAAGAAGTTTAGGGATTAATTTAGAATGGAGATCACAATACGGGGATGAAAAGGAAATGTTTAAACGTTGGAGGACTAATTTAGAAACACAGTCATAGTTTAAGGATGAAATTAAAACGTTTAAAAGTTTCGGGACAAATTTGAAATGAGAGTCATAGATTGGGGACATATGATGCAATTAACTCTTACTAAACTAAAATGTGGATTTATTTCCTAAACTTGATTACAGTAGGAGAACCAAAAGTAAAATTTGAGCAAATTGGAGGATGACATTAACTAGGGTTGGTTAGTAAAATATATGGAAATGATTTTGTCATAAAAATTGTAAATCGTATAATGACCATTAGTTTTTTCAAACGGTTACAAAATAGTCATTGATCAAGCTATTAAAAAATTGTTATTGAATTTATCGAAATATTATAAAATAGTCCCTATTCTTAGCAGAACTCATCTCGTTTCGTAACAATTCAATAAATTTAATAATCATTTTGTAGCTTTTGAAATTCCAGTATCATTTCTAACATGTCCGAGTAGACAGGAGAGCGTAATTATATTATTACGACGCTAGGAATAGGTTTTGTTGGGGGATAGAATTAGACTGGTCAAGTTTGTGCAAGGAAAAAGACACTGTCGTTTAGGGAATGATGGTCGAGTACTATAGTTTTGGGGTTTGAACTTGAGAGCTTGCGGATCTGGCCTGTTAAATTCATAGAAATCTATATATGGATAACGGTAAATGAACTACGATGGAGTCTGAAGCTGCTACGAGTCCAAATATGACAATATGGTTGTGCCTGGGAAGTTAGGCATTGCTTGCATGGCTGTTTCTAGATCTAGATTTTAGAAAGTAATCGAAAACTGCTTCGAATAAGATACTAAAATCCATAAAACACACTAATAAGATTACAATACAAATACGATTACAATCCATAAAATACACGAATAAGATTCGGATTACAGAGTCTTTTCTCTTTGAACAAAGGGCCTCGTTAAAAACCCCTTCTAAACCTATAAGGGGAAAAAGAGTACCCAAAAGAAATTACGAATTAAAGAGTCCAGATACGGCACACACTTGGGATAGAGAAACGTATGAGTTGATAGCTTCCATGATCTTAATTTTGATCAAGTTCTTCGATATCAAATGGCATTCCAGAAGCCAACTATAAAACGAACCAACACACCAAAACAATGATATATTAGTGCTATGTACACGGAAATTATTTATAGTGTATATATATAGCGTACCTCTTCTCTTAGATCCTCTGGGCTGTAAGCCTGAAATTTACGAGATAAATAAATAAATGATTTATAAACAAGAAATGTTCATCTTTTTTCAAGAATAATAGTAATACGTTGGTTAATATCAATGATTAGGAACGTGCATACCATATTATTAATGAAGACTGCATCAAGGTTCCTTGCTTTTTCCAGATCCTGAAAATCCAAGTTAAAAAGTTAAATTAGAGGTTCAGGTCTAACAATGATAACCAGATTTGTTAACATTAGCGTACATTGGAGATTTGTTTTAACTCCTCCCTCGCGTTTTGCAATTTCTGAAAAACAAAGTCAAATTAGAGGCTTAGATCATGAAATCAAACTTTTAGATCTATGAACAGTAGCTTACCTGTAGGAAGCCATCTAACCTATTGTTTGCACCCACCAATCTCATCTTTGCCACATCTTCTGTCAACCTACGTTTCTTGTGATTGACCAGTATTCTCATTATATATCGATTACTTCTTCTAAGTGCAGCTCTCATAGCTTTCAAATCTGCAATCAAAATTTTGGCTCTAGCTGTCCATGGCATTTTGATTTGGTCGTAGGTGAGGAATAATTCACCTAGCAGGGCCATCACCTAAAAACATACAGACAGTGTCAATGCAACGATTGAAGGTATTATACCCTTCAAGAAAAGGCACTTCATGAGGAAAGTATAGGTCTTTGCTTACAAAGACCATAGTTCAATCATGTCAATTACTAGTTGATAGACTTTAGGGTATTAATCCCTTTGGAAGAGAGATCTGTCCTCACAGTTGTATCTAACAAGAAAAGGTGAGGGTAGAAAGAACCCTTGCTTTTATAAACTGAGTACAATCCTTTCTAATTAATGTGGGAATTTTTACCTTCGACGTATATATATAATAAATAACAATAATGTGAATTGAATATGAAGTACTAAGTCCAGGTATAAGAATTTACGCTCTCTGTCCTTTTGAAGACTCGATCTGTCAAAATTTTCGCACATTGCCCCACAGATTTCTCCTTGATATGCTCTTCATAACTCACTGCTTTACTGGCCCGTGCTGTTTTTTTCCCGGAAGATGATGATTCACCATTAACAATGGTTCTCCGGCTCCGGGACTGTTTCATTTTGCCTTTTCCTTTAGCTCTTGATGAGTCATCAGAAACTAGTTCCCGGCCTCTTTTCTTGCTCCCACTCGACATCGAGTTCAACTGGTTGTCATTGGGCAACAATTGTTGCTCATTCGCTCCATGTTGGTCTCTTTTGTTGCTTCCAGTCGGCATCGAGCTCAATGAGTTCAACTGGTTGTTATCGGACAACAATATCGGCCCATGGTGGTCTCTTATGATGCCTCCACTCAAGTTCTCCTGATTGTCATCGGGCGGTCCATGTGCTTGAAGTGACTGTGCATTGTTTACAGACAAAGCAGACACATTGTTCTCGTCGCTGTTCGGGTCAATGTAAGAGCTCCAGATCATGGACGGATCTGGGAAATTTAGCTCAGATCAGATGAAATCATTTGGTAGAGAACAGCCAAAAACACTAACGATTTTGCCCATTTGCAGAACAAAAATAGAAAGAAAGAAGCAAGTCAAGTACACTGATATTTCTTCAAACAATTAGAAAAAACTAACAAAACGATATGAAACGAGATTTCCTCGAGCAATTAAAGAACCAGCATTAAAGGAAATTCGGCAAAATCAAAGCAATAAATGTAGCAAAACCAAAGCAATAAATGTGTACTTGTGTAGAAGGCGATGCAAATAAAGTAAATTCAGTAGTATTTATTGCCTTATATATATGTGTGTGTGTGTGTGTGTGAACAGACACAGGAAAGAACAAGGTTGCCTGCTGAAGGCCATACTTTTCTTGGCTACTGTGCCTTTTCCACTTACCAAGTTGAAGGTCTCCTGGTGATAGGTAATCAAAAATCGAAAGGTCGTTGGAAGGATTCAAATCAGATCTGCTCATCTTGGACTGATCTGGTAAATTGAACTCGAGTCAGATCAAATCACTGAATAAAAAACAGCCAAAAATAATATCCTTCTTCCCAAATTCAGAACAAGAAAGTGCACAAAACCAAAAGAACAGACATATAAACTATAATCTAAGAAAAACAAAGATACGAGATTTAATCAAGTAAACTAAAGAAACCATAAAAGGAAACTATACAAAGTTTGAACTTCGAAGCAAGATATTATAAATAAATTAGTAAATTCAGTACAAGGCCTTACCGCTTTGGCGTAGTGAAGAGAAGCAGAGAAGATCCGGCTGCCGCGAATGAAATGGAGGAACCCATAGATGAAGATGAAGAAAGGGTTTTTAATTAAAGGAGAGTTTCCATTAGAATACGCGCGAGATTGCAAGTCTGCCTATATAATTTGAAGCGCTGAGGCTTTTTCAGCTGAAGAGGGTTGAACTCGAGCTCAACATTGGCTACGCTTTTCAAACAAAATTCAATAAATTTTAATTTAAAATATATTATATCAATTTAATTTTAATTTAAAAATAATTCAATAAATTTAACCTATCATACTTAATTTTTTTTTATCAATTTAATCCTTGTTCTTCTCTCAAATTATTTGTTCTTTTTGCTAAAAAAATTTCAGAAATAATATATTACTTTCTCATTGTTTTAGAAATACTCTGGATATATTACATGGAGTTGAATTTTATAAAGAGAAAATCGTCTCAGTGACCAAAAATGCCTTATAATATACGATTTTAACCAATTTTTTTTGGATTTGCCAAAATGACCAACAAAATCGCAATGCGATAGTACAAATTCGCTTTGCGATTTTCCAGAATCGCAACGCGAATATGAAAATCGCAACGCGAACATATAAATCGCAACGCGATTCTTACTATCGCAACGAGTATCTGTAAAAATCGCAACGCGTATCCATAAATCGCAACGACAATACGTAAAATCGCAACGCGATTTTTAAAACACCATTAGAATCGCTACGCGTATTTTATTTTCAAATTCCAAACACAAATATTAAGAGAAAATCCCGTAATCGAAACTCATAACCTAAAACCTAAAATCACAACTCAGTCCCATCTCCATCTCTCACTCTCTACGGCGAAATCCGTCCCCATCTCCGAAGATTTCCGTCCCCATCTCCTGCGAAATCCCTCACAACCATTCACGGTCAGAAATCCCTCACAATCATTCAGAAATGGAAAATCAACCTCCGAGGGTTAGTTTTTTTAATTATTTTTATTTTGAAATTTTTTCATTATTTTAGGTTTTTCATATTGAAACTGATGATAAGTTTACTGGTAATTTCAATAATAGATTAACCATTTCACTTAGATTTCTTATTAAATTCATTCGATTGTTGCCAATACTGCTAAACTGTTTAGTCTTTAACCCTGTGAAGTTAGTATTTGTCTTTGTTTTGTCTTTTGGTTGAAGTAATGCAATCCATTCAAGTTTCAATTTGCATAAGAATCGCAACGAGAGAAATGAAAATCGCAACGCGAAATGAAAATCGCAACGCGAAACCAAAATCGCATTGCGATTTTCATTTCGCGTTGCGATTCTCTCGTTGCGATTTTCATTTCGCGTTGCGATTCTCTCGTTGCGATTTTCATTTCAACCAAAAGACAAAACAGTGTTGCAAATTTTAGTTTCAAGAATAAACTATTATTTATGTTTATTGTTTTTGGTATATCTTCACAGTGTAGTTTTTGGTATATCTAACTTGGTATGTTTATTGTTTTTGTAGAAATTTTTTTCGGCTTCATTGACATTAAGGAATAAAGTTAGCCTAGCCACTACAATTGCTTCGAAGCTTTCACCTGCACAAAGAAAATTGTTTGAGGAAACCTGCTTCGGGCCATGGCTGAGAGTACAGCATCCGGGTGGAGATGCTAATTTGACCCATTTGTGGCTTCAGACCATGACTAGCGATCTACCCGACAGTATACAACGTGGTGAGGAAGAGATATGGTTTCATTTTCCACCGGCGTATACTTGTTTTGGGCGGAAGGAGTTCTGCTTAATCACTGGTCTACGATTCGGACACGATGATGTAGGCCAGTACACTCGTCATATCGCCCGCCCATCATGGTTATCCCGGGTTTTTCCGGATGAGTCAATGGAGAAGCCGAACCTACACGTCGACGACCTGAAGAAATTGTTTAATAAGAAAGATGGTTTCACTCGGATGGATGACGTCGATGTTGTCCGAGTATGCCTTCTAGTACTTTTGTATGCCGGCTTTTTAGGCAGAGAGGCCAGACAACCTATTCCTCAGGAGCTAATATTATTGGTAGAGGACCTGAATGCATGGAATCTGTTTCCGTGGGGTTCGTATATATGGAAAGCTACCTGGACTAAGTTGTCGTCTGCCTTTGATGACCGTAAAAGTTTGCGTGGCGATGGGTCGAAATACACTTTATCAGGCTTTGTTTGGGCCTTTAAGGTAAGAATTTCTATATAATGTTTCCAAAATTATAATTAATTATTTTAACAATTACTAATGTTTGTTATTATATTGTTTGTAGATTTGGATATTCGAGGCTTTCCCCAGCATGCGGACATATGCAATAAAAACGTCAAATGATATTCCCAGGGCTATTTCCTGGAAGAGGAAAAGTCTGTTGGATTGGGAAGACTTAATACCATATGCGACAATAAATAATGTAAGTTAACACAAATACTTTCATATATAAACAAGTTATTAATAGTAGACGTTTAACTTTGTTTGAGTTTTTATATTGTTAGGAGGCCAACACTCCATTACAAAGACTGACACCCACGGAGGATGAGCTTGCCACTGATTGGTGGCAAGCTAGTCAGCGTTTTTTTGATGGCACGGATGATGAGCAGCATCCACTTCCTCCACTTCGAGAGCCATCACCTCACCCAGAGCCATCACCTATCCTGTCACATCATCGAGCCTCTTCTCCACCATCACCTCATGATAGGCGACCGGCAGAGATGCCACGACTTCTATCTCCCTGTTCTCCACCTCCACCTCCACGTGATGAGTCAAGGGAGTTACGTGATGAGGTCAATGCCTTGCGTGAGGAGATCGGTACTCTACGCGATAACGATGGTGCATGGCGTGTGAAGGTGTCTACTTTACGTGGTGAGGTTGCCGCTCTACGTGAGATGGTAGTATCGTTGCAGAATGAGGTTCATACTCTACGCAACGAGGTAAGTTTAAGATTTTCCATATTTAACTTGATGATAAATTTACTCGTAATTTCACTTAGATTAACCATTTCACTTAGATTGCTTAGTAAATTTATTCGGTTGCTGCCAATACTGCTAAACTGTTTATTCTTTAACACTGTGAAGTTAGTATTTGTCTTTTGTTTTGTCTTTTGGTTGAAGTAAATTTATTCGGTTGCTACCAATTCTGCTAAACTGTATATTCTTTAACACTGTGAAATAGTATTTGTCTTTGTTTTGTCTTTTGGTTGAACTAAACTGTGTATTCTTTAATACTCTGAAGTTAGTATTTGTCTTTGTTTTGTCTTTTGGTTGAAGTAATGCAATCCATTCAAGTTTCAATTTGCAGAAGAAGAAATAGTTTACTTTCGCAACACGAAACTTAAAATCGCAACGCGAAATGAAAATCGCAACGAGAGAATCACAACGCGAAATGAAAATCGCAACGAGAGAATCGTAACGCGAAATGAAAATCGCAATGCGATTTTGGTTTCGCGTTGTGATTTTCATTTCGCGTTGCGATTTTCATTTCTCTCGTTGCGTTTCTTCTGCAAATTGAAACTTGAATGGATTGCATTACTTCAACCAATAGACAAAGACAAATACTATGATAGAAACATATTTGTCTTTGTTATCTGATGCATTTTGTGAACTATGATAGAATATTGACTTGGGTGAATACAATGCAAGTTTGAAACATATTTGTCTTTGTTTTCACTATTTAAATATCATGTCTGTTTATTTACTGATTTTTGTATTTAATTATTTAGCGGCCCGATAAGGTGGATGCTTTACGTCGGGTTTTGCTTGCACGACGGAGTTCACGCATCAGACGGCGTGCACGTGCTATTAAGTCTCCGTACACCCCAATAGTGCGAAGACACCACAAGAAGAAGCTCGACTCGCCTGTCATCCCTCAAGAGTCCACTCCTATCGTTGAAGAGGCCCCTATCATTCCTCGAGAGTCCCCTCCCACCGTTCAAGAGGCCACTGTCATCATTGAAGAGGTCCCTCCCACCATTCAAGAGCCCGATTCACATGGCGTCATATGTAGGCTTCTTGAGAAACCCTCTGACGTGCCGGACATGATGGATGAGAGTTGGCTCTCGTATAAGTTACCGGCCAGTACCATTCCGGTATCTGAAGTAGAGATGAGACAACTACCAGACACAATTCTGGATAACATCATTTGGGCTAAGACCGCAATTGATTTTTATCTACATGAGCGGAGCCAGGGGTGTTTCACTGACATATGCAAGCTCACCGATGATATCTATTTGTTGCTTGATCGGTCTTGGTGGGGCGTATTATTAGGGGTCGAAGACAATGGCTATTTCGATGGGGGGTAAGTCTTATATTTTTCTTATATTTAAATTTCATTAATTTTTTTTTAAATTTATGTAAGTCACTAATATATGTCTTTTTTTTGTAAAACAGCATATCGATGTGTGGGTGACACGTCTTCTAATAATTATAAAACTTAAGAAAAATAAAAGAAATACACGATATACAATTATGCCGACGTCTTTTAACGCCGTTCACTTGAAGAATCAACGAGATGAATCATTTGTGTTGGGCAATGGACAAGCTAAATTTTATCCTGCATGGTGGGAGGTCGATAAGGTTAGTATTTATTTTAGATTGAGTTTAAAGGTATTCATAAATAAGTACGCAAATGAATGAATTATTACTTATGATTGCAGGTGTTTATCCCTGTTTTGGAACGTAAACATTGGATTCTCGTCGAGCTTCAGCTCCCATCCCTTAAGATAATAGTATATGACATCATGATAAATTACATATCATTGGCTGATTTAAGAGATATTATTAAGGGATGGAGCTCTCATTTGGCTAAATTCTTGGATGCGATACATTATTGGACTCGTTCTGGAAACAAGAAGCCAAAGAAGCTCAATATTACAGTTATCAGAGACGAGACCGCGCCACAACAAACGGAAGGAGCCAGAGGGGATTGTGGTCCTCTCGTATGCTTCGCGTTGGAGCGTTTGACGACAGGAAGTATAAAGTATCTACCTCCCACCGATAGAGATAGAGCTGTAGTAGGCTTGTGGTTTCAGCATTATATGGCTAAATCGATATATACGAGACGCTGCCTACCTGCATCCGCGTTATAAAAATATCCATAAACAATTGGTAAGTTTATAGGCTTTTGGTTTGAAAATGTTTGGTTAAGTACCTAGAATTCAATAATTTGTTGTTTGTAGGTTTTAGATGTGTAGAAAGTGTTGTTTGAGCAAATGTTTGGTTTCTGCAGGTTAATCTTATAAGTGAGCTGCGTGAAAATGATGTATGGCTGCAAAAGTTGATTCAATAGTAGATGAGGAAATAGAATTATTGCTTATTTTTTGATTGTTTAATTCATTGTAAAAGATGATTTGTAAAAGTTGATTCAATAGTAGATGAGGAAATAAGAATTATTGCTTATTTTTTGATTGTTTAATTGATTTGTAAAAGATGATTTGTAAAAGTTGATTTGTTTAATTGATGTGAACATAATTCTTATTTGTGCTTGTTTAATTGATTGAAATGTAATGGTTGATTTTGTTAATTTCAATCTGCATTATGTTGAAGGCAAAAATGACTATCGCAATGCGAAATGAAAATCACAACGAGTGCGATTCTCTCGTTGAGATTTTCATTTCGCATTGCGATTCTCTCGTTGCGATTTTCATTTCGTATTACGATTCTCTCGTTGCGATTTTCATTTCGCATTGCGATTCTCTCGTTGCGATTTTCATTTCGCATTGCGATTCTCGCGTTGCGATTTTCATTTCGCATTGCGATTCTCTCGTTGCGATTTTCATTTCGCATTGCGATTCTCTCGTTGCGATTTTCATTTCGCATTGCGATTCTCTCGTTGCGATTGTAATTTCCGCGTTGCGATAGTAAAATGAATGCCTAATAAATGATAACAACTGAATAACAAGTAAGAGTTGGTTAAGTC